TCCTTACTGGGAACATAATATTTTCTTTAAATAATTCCCGCGTTATAAAATAATTGTTTATGTAAATTATTTATTAACCCACTTGCGACACATTTTACGGTCACAAGACCTTACTTAATTGAAACTTGATAATGCAGTAGAAATATGTATGTACGACCGTGATCCAGTTTTTAGATATAAATTGGGACATTTTGCATTTGAAGTAATTCATATATTTATACTTTATCGGTGACAGGTCGACGCACTACCTCAAAATTATCTAAAGACTAATATAGTTGTATTGCCAATATACTTATCCTTTCAACAACGTGTTAAATCTGTCTCTGAAAGAGTAAATAAAGACGTTTCAACATCAAATCTGCCTCCTATGTCTCTATATACTAATACCAACCTCACAATGTGTTTTTATATATTATAAGGTGTTTCAATCCTTCAAAACATGATATCCACACAATGCCTTAGCACAAATTGTGAATTAAAAAGAAAGTGATCACGCAGCATGTTATACTAATTTCCTATAACTGCACGCTTGATGTAAGCTATGCTTGGCAATTTGTTGGCGATATGTGCTATCTCCACACTTTTCCCTCCCTAAAGTTAATACTTCTTCATCGTAGTATTATTATTAAATCGCCATTGCTATACAACAAGACAGTTTATTTATGCGGATGATACAGCTGTAGCAGCTCAGGGAAGTACCTTCAATGAAGTCGAAGTAAAACTGACAGATGCCCTAGAAGACTTAGCAGTATACTATGACGAAAACCATCTGAAACCCAATCCTACAAAAACCCAGGTGTGTGCTTTCCAACTTAGAAACAAGCATGTCCGAAGGACACTGAAGGTGGAATGGCGTGGTCAGATGCTGGAACATAATGAGATGCCAAAATAACTCGACGTACGTCTGGATAGAACTCTGTCTTATCGATATCACTGTCAAGATATCAAGAAAAAAGTAAGCGCTAGAAATAATATCATCCGCAAACTAACAAACACAAAATGGGGAGCACAACCACACACTCTCCGTACTTCTGCCTTAGCATTATGTTTTTCTGCCGCCGAGTGTGAGAAAACTCTGCTCACGCTAAAAACGTCGATGTTGCATTAAATGAAACGGTTCGTTTAATATTTTGTTGCCTGAAACCGACACCTTACGAAGAGGTCTACCCTATAGTTGGAATCGTTCCATCTGCTATGTGGCCAACCATTGGAAACACAAAATTTAAAGCCGTTGGTGTTCCGAACACGGAAAGTAAGTAAGTATTGTAGTATGAAATGATACTATTGCCTTTTTTTAAATATAAATATTCTATCCAAATTCCCATTCGCATCAAATATATCTGACTATATTGGATTGAATACGAAACATTTCAAAAACTAATAAAAATTGTCAACAGCTCTCCGTCTATCGACGAAACTTGTTCGAGAATAACTTATTCTTGTATGAACTCCTTCAAAAATGACGTATCGTAGCGCGATTGTCGATGCAAAACGATTTTTATCGCTGGCATTCAAAACATTCAATCTATATTTTCCATTGATCCATTATTCCTGCCATACTTTCTATATTTTCCGCGTTGTCTATATAAAATTTTGTTTCCAGACATGTTTCGTTGTAGGTATCTCTACTATCACTTTGATTTTAACCATATAATCACATGTCCCAGCTGTTCCTGTATCTTATAATATATAAAATATCATCATGTCACTTTTTTTATATCATCTTTCTTAAATTCTTGATTTCAGCGGTTTTTTAGATGTATAAGTAAGAATGTGCTTCCAGAGTATTAGTATATTATTGTATTGTATTTGGGGTTGATATGTATGTATTATTCCAATAGTTTTTCAGTCTTAATCAAGTTTATATTATGTTTGCTTCTTTTACTGTAATACTACCTTTTTCAGGCATCTGATTTTTCTGTTCATCACTGGTTTTCACTTGTACTTCGGTTATCACTCATTCTACTAATCTAGACTTTACATCTAGACATTTTCTCTTGACTTATTCTCCTAGGGGATTATTATTTCCATTCCATTTACTTTTCTTATTTGTTCCTTGTGTAGAAACTAGTTTTCACTGGGAAATATTATCGTTGATAATGGTACTCTGTACTCAAATATCAAGTTTTACGTCGCTTTTGACATCAAATGTCAACTTTTACGCCGCTTTTGACATCAAGCGTCGCGTTAAACGTGACATTTCATCTCATACTCATGTCCAATTTACGTTTTACGAACTTAAGGTCGTTTTGGCAGTATCCAGTTGACACTCGACGTAAAATAAGACGTTTTATATAAAACGTGGCATTAGATGTGAAATTCGGCGTAAAACGTTAAATTTTACGTAAAATGTGACATATGACGTGAAATGCAACCTAAAAAAAAGCGACGTATGATGTTGATTTGCCGTGAAACGTGAGGTAGAACATGACATTTGACTTGACATGCGACAATGGACAGCCGGAGTGTGACGTCACGGAGACCATATTGTTATTATTACTTTCCAAACAAAAGTTTGGAATATTATTATTTGGAGTATTATTACGATAATACCATCATAATTTGGTGTTATATTTCTATGAAATATAGTTTAAAGTAAAGAAATTCTAACCTTACTTTACTGATACATGAATTTTATTGCTATTTTTATAAAACAACATAATTTATTACTTACACAACGTTGTTGTGTAAGTAATTGTTACGAATTACCAATTGTTGTAGTAACTATTAGAATACTTAGAAATAGCAAAAAGCAGATTCTGTAAAAATAACGAAAAACACAAATTATCCACACTAAACAAGGTTTGTTTGGAAAGTGAAACTGACAGATGTCAATAAAAATAAATGCTTCTACGTCATACTCCGACAGTCTATTGGCATGAACTGCAACAAAGTTTGATCTCAGTTTGGTTTTAGAACCTTAACGATTGTGCCTGTTAATTTCTATAAGGATATCTACTTTCATTGGTCGAAACTATTTCCAGCTGTTTATTTTTACAACCAATTGTAGCTCCATATCATCGAGCAAAAAGACAAAAGAGGGAATCTAATCGTTATGAAAAGGCATCGAGCAAAAAGACAAAAGAGGGAATCTAATCGTTATAAAAAGGAGACCAAAAAGTGGCCTCTGATGGCGGACATATCCGGAAATGCAAATGCGCCAAATTTAAATTTTTCGACACTTATTAACAGTAGCTATAAAATAGTTTTCAGAATTTGTCTTAGACGAGAAACTTTAAATAAATATAAACGATAACAGTCTAAAATGTGACATAATTGTTAATAAACTTTAATATAAATAAGATTTCATGTCACAGGACAAAAAATAACATAACCCAACTAAGTTTGATTTCTTATACAAGGAAAGACTTTCTTTTCTTGTTTAATGTGGCCTCTCAAGATGGTACTTCCTGTCTAACAATACCCCCTACCTTTACATTCCCTCTTTTGTCTTTTTGCTCGATGTGAAAAGGAAAACAAAAAAGTGGTTTCTGATGGCGGACATATCCGGAAATTCAAAGGCGCTAAATTTAAATTTTCCGACACTTATTAACAATAGATATAAAATATTTTTAAGACGAGAAAGTTTTAATTTAATATTAACGATAATAGTCTAAAATGTGACACCATTGGTAAAAAACTTCAATATAAATAAAGTTTCATGTGACAGTTGGGACAAACAATAACATAACCAAACTAAATTTGATTTCTTAAACAAGGAAAGAGACTGTCTTTCCTTGTTTAAAGTGGCCTCTCAAGATGGCACTTTCTGTCTAACAATATTTTTGTCCCCACTACCTTTACATTCCCTCTTTTGTCTTTTTGCTCGATGCTCCATATCCAATTTTGATTTTATATTGTGGCGATTAAAAAATTTATGACTGGAGCGTCATTTGAACTATGAATGCTTTTATTTTTATTATATATATATAATACAAAATATTATTATAACAACCTATTATTTGGTCAATCACCTAATCTCTCAAGAAATCAACCCGAACAGTCAATCGGTGCTTTTTAAAATTCTCACAAGCAGTATTTGTCGGCGTTGTACCAACATTTTTAAAGCTATAAGCTGTAGTATAAGCTATAATAATAACCAGTCATAAATTGGTTCTTGTCATACGTAAATACTTTCATAAGCTATAGCTAAGCTAAGCTTAAAGTGACCTAAATATTGATTCAAGTAACGAGTGGAGAACTCATTAAACATGAGCCCAAAATGTGTACCCTTCTAGTGTATCATCTATCAATGTATAAAACTGAAAATTATTTACTACAGAGCAATGATTCATCGTTGCCTTTGTTGTAAATTCCTGTGATGTAAAACGTATGACGAGTTTCGATAATAAAGGTAAAAGTTAACACATAAAAACTATTATTTTTTCTTACAAATTCAGTTCCACGTAATCAATTACAAAACATTGACATAAAATATCATTTGACGTTACAACTTTGTGACATAGAATTGTTCAGAAACATTTTACCATCCTGTGATCTATTCCATTATTAAGATAAATTTAACTTCGGAGAAGTCACAGGGTGAATTATAAGCAAAGTGGAGCGGAAAAGCGGATTTCACAAAAATGTAATTTAAATTTATTTATTTTACGTAATAATGAAATCTTGTCAGGTAAGGGTTCCTTCAGTTCGATATATTTACATTTTCGCGATTTAAACAGTTTCTATGTTCCTTGAATATTCAATGTTGTGCAAACATAAATTTGAGCCTGTGACCGATGACGTGAAACGGATTTTGTAGAAAAAAAACCTTACACATCGTAAAATTAACCTATATCTTTTTGTAAAAACATAAATCACAAAATTCATAATCAATAAAAATCAAAATTACTTTGAAAATACTTCGTGGTAACTCGACGAATAAACTTAACCGCTAAAATTAAAATGTAAACAATGATATAAAAACATGTATAAAAAATATACAACAAAATATGTACCGTTAAAAATTGAAATAAAATTAAGTTAAAAAATTAGTAGAATTACTTCTTAAGTAACCTCTTCAGCTGGTCTTCGAGTTCTTTCACTCTTTGTTCGCTATTGATAAGTTGTTTCTTCAATTTGCGAATTTCTTCGCCTTGAGATTGATATGCTCGTCGCAACTGTGAACAAAAATCATAATATAATTTATATGTCAAAGAATGGAAAAGAAAAGTATTTTTGAAGTGTGTAAACATTTATTTCGGAGTGCCTTACAAAGCTATATTCAAACAGTCTCATGCCAAACTTTCAAAAAATCAATTTTTTTTACATAAATCGCTTCCATTTAAATTCAAAAACTCCCTCCTAAAATTTTAAAAAGAAAATCCCACTAGAATATAAGTTATAGTTATTTTCTTAACGTCATCTACGCACGTATGAAAACCGGTTTCTCTCCGCGCGGCGAGCGCGAGGCTCCAGCTGTTCTTGCTTTTGTATATTATGTTGTATATACGTTGGGTATGTATTAGTGATTCATTTTTATATAGTATGTATATCTGTATAATGTTTGGCAGTTACTATACACATTTGAAATTTTAAATCCGGAATATAGGATTTTTTACAAATACTAAGATTCTCTGCGTTGCAATTAACCAGTGTAAATTTCTTTATAACGTCGCGATGTTTTATAACTAATTTATTTGTTCCACTGGATTATTTCTCCTCAGCGGTTTGTAGTAGCGTATATGGCACGCCGACAGTATTGCTCCGTCTACCGATTTTTCCCGAAAGTCCGGTTTTGTGCAGATAATAAATAATGTTTTATTAACATCAATGTTGTTTGTGTTCATTAGGTATTATTTGAGTTATAAAATGTATACTTAAATACATTTATTATTCCAAATATTGTTTATAATTTCAAATTAAAAAGAGTGTAATATAATTATTTTACATATTTTTAAAATTCCTTTTTAAACTTTTTTTTCAAGCCGTTTTCGTTGAATTGACATGCGATCTAGCTGTATTCCGTTTCTAGCCAATCTAGCTCTGGAAAAGGTAATACTTATGTCACAAATCACAACCACTGGTTTAATATATAATAATTCAGTGCAAATCCTGGCATATGCTGATGATATCAATCTTGTCGGAAGAACGGAAAACGCTGTACGAGAGGCGTATGTAGCATTAAAAGAATAAGCTACAAAAATGGGTTTAATAATATTCTTCTTCAACTGCCATCTTCGCGGCGGAGGTCGGCAATCATCATAGCGATTCGGACTTTTGAGACAGACAGAACAAAACGAAGTATATGAAAATAAACACGCAACCACAAATCCCACCACCACTTGTTATAGTAAACGATGTCATCGAAGCAGTGAACGAATTTTTATACCTGGAAACGCCCCGTAACACTGATAATAATACTACGGCAGAGATAAACCGCAGAATTTGCACGGCCAACAGATGCTATTTTGGGCTCAATCTCCTACTTAAGTCCACAATTATATCGAAAAATACTCTTTAAAAATTAGATTACTCTTAGATTATAGCAAAGCAAGTTACGTACGCATATTATACGATCCAAGACGAAGAATTTTATGTATTATAAAGTATGTCTAAATATATTTTTTTGAGTAAAAGAGAATTAGACGAGCAGCGGAATAAAATAATTATATGCGCGTGCATTAAAGGTCAACATATGCCCAAGTAGCTACCTTTCTACTTATCATATATCAAGAACATAAATTTAGATAATAGTTTATATGTGTTTAATGAAAGTATGGACTTTGATCGGCCACGAAACAGCCTTCGACCCTGTTACAATAGGAAAGATTACTGATTTCATCGCGTCAATAGTTATAATTTTACGGATAATTTTAATTTTATTTAAGTTAACAAATTTATTACTTACGTCGTTTTCAGTCAAGATATTATCCCCGATGCTATTCACCTCTTTTATCAGACGAATATCTTTATGATTGTTAATTTCGATTTGACTGAACTTCTGCTGCAACTTTTGGAAAGTTTGATTATTAGTAGTTTTCCTACTCTTCTCCGTAATGACAGCATCTTTCGGCCGGTAATCTATGATAGTCTCCGTTGCAAGGAAAGCCAGTTTCTTCTTGTTGTTGTCCACTTTCGATGTTTCGGCGACTGTTTTGATCAAGTTACGTTGTTTTATAGATGTTATGTTGAGTTCGTTTTGTTCACCTACGAATATAAAAAAAGAAAATTAACCAAAAAAGCATTTTTCACTTATACTCAGTTTAAGTGAAGGTCTAAAATTATATTTTGAGGATCTAACTCACCTGTTTTCATAGATATGAGCAACGGCATGGCATTCTTGCCCCTGATCCATTCCTGAGCGGACAACGCCGGCCTAGGAGCTGCCGTATCCGGGTACAAATCTTCATGGAATTGATCACTTTTGCGAGGTACGATCATACTGATCGGTTCACACAAGCCTTTAGTTGCATGTAACTTATAAAATCGAAAAACTTCACACTGGGCAGTCCTGAGACCTCTCTTTGGCATAAAACCTAACCCTCTTTGTGGATTTCCAGACAGAATTTGGCTTAAGTAGTGAACAAACGGAGCTTCATCAGTCACTTCGTAGTATCTAATGTTACCATCTCCTTTTCCTGCTAGGTAAACCATATTGGTGTCGGCGTCGAAGAAAGGAAAAACCACACCGGAGGAACTGTCAATACTGTCTGTAAAAAGAGGCTGAGATAGATCGGATTCGTCCCAAACTGAATATTGTCGGTCGGAATGTCTTGAGAAGCCGGTGGTTAAAAGTTGACCAGTTGAACCTAAGTAGATCACTTTGCTTGCTTTAGATCCAGCATGACATATTCCTTCCTAAAACAAGATTTAGAGATTATTTCAATTAGCTCGAGCCAAACGGCAACCATAATGACTCAGAAGATTTAGCTCTAATAAGACTTATTCCCGTTCTGCACGTCTATCTTTTAAGAAGTTTTACTTTTATCGCAACTACTTTTACCTTAGAATCAATTTATTCATAATTGCAAGACTGATGGTCAAGATCTGCAAGAAGATGAATATACGTCAGTTTGACTAGATAAACTGAATATGTATATAAAAATAAAAAATAGAGTAAATAGTAAATAGATAAACTGTTTAGATGGCAAACAATATGTATATTTTAATGTTACCAAAAATAATAGACTTGGGATTTTACTTGCTTCTATTATGGTGTATTCATTTTCGTATTATTTAAAATCCTTACCGTTTTAACAATGCCACTTCTTGGTTCAATAATCCTCAATTTTTTATCCTTACAAGTAGTAGCCAGCAAGCTACCGTCTCTATTTAAGGACATGGAATGTATGGCATCGTGGTGGCAGTCGATCACGTTTATGGCTTCGCCTTTTTCTATATCCCAAACAATAACCTACAACAGAAATACAAAATCTTAAAGTTTGTAAATTACATTCGAATGATTTTTCAGAAACCTTCATTATTAGTTAAACCATCTGTATATTCTGTTTCCTCTTATTTTCTAGGGCGTAAACTCTATTTGTCATGATAATAAATAGAATAGAGGTCCCATGCTCCCTCATCTTAGGTAAGTGAACGGTATCTAAATGCTAGCTAATAAAAAGTCATGTGATGTGATGTCATGAAAATAATGATTGTGATCTAGAAGGTGAAGTGCGTATGTAGAATATGTTTTTCTATTATTGAAAGCCCTATTATGTTCTGCTATTCGTTTATTAAAGTTTCTACCAGTTTGACCGATGTAAGTTTTTGGGCAGTCGCCACCTTTAAGATTGTACATACCACTGTGAAAGTGTATGGCCTAGGAGACAAATTCGTTAAACTTCCCGTGCTCGAATTGGTATCACTAAAGTGTTATGATCATTTCGGCCTATCCCAGCCATCGTCAGACACTTGGGCTGATACAAATTCAAACTCGGAAAGTAAAACGAATGTCTCCCAATCTTCACTACCGTGTAGTTAGCTTATAAAGGCGCCCTCTATTTTGAAGGCCGTGAACGAAACGATATGAATAATCGTTTTCTGTATCCTTTATGCTATGCGAAATGTGTAAAGAATCAAATCTTTTAGCGAAAGCCGCTATCGCTGTATGTATTAAATGGCCAACTATATGGCCTAGGAGACAAATTCGTTAAACTTCCCGTGCTCGAATTGGTATCACTAAAGTGTTATGATCATTTCGGCCTATCCCAGCCATCGTCAGACACTTGGGCTGATACAAATTCAAACTCGGAAAGTAAAACGAATGTCTCCCAATCTTCACTACCGTGTAGTTAGCTTATAAAGGCGCCCTCTATTTTGAAGGCCGTGAACGAAACGATATGAATAATCGTTTTCTGTATCCTTTATGCTACAGCGGCTATCCTTTAGCGGCTTTCGCTAAAAGATTTGATTCTTTACACATTTCGCATAGCATAAAGGATACAGAAAACGATTATTCATATCGTTTCGTTCACGGCCTTCAAAATAGAGGGCGCCTTTATAAGCTAACTACACGGTAGTGAAGATTGGGAGACATTCGTTTTACTTTCCGAGTTTGAATTTGTATCAGCCCAAGTGTCTGACGATGGCTGGGATAGGCCGAAATGATCATAACACTTTAGTGATACCAATTCGAGCACGGGAAGTTTAACGAATTTGTCTCCTAGGCCATATAGTTGGCCATTTAATACATACAGCGATAGCGGCTTTCGCTAAAAGATTTGATTCTTTACACATTTCGCATAGCATAAAGGATACAGAAAACGATTATTCATATCGTTTCGTTCACGGCCTTCAAAATAGAGGGCGCCTTTATAAGCTAACTACACGGTAGTGAAGATTGGGAGACATTCGTTTTACTTTCCGAGTTTGAATTTGTATCAGCCCAAGTGTCTGACGATGGCTGGGATAGGCCGAAATGATCATAACACTTTAGTGATACCAATTCGAGCACGGGAAGTTTAACGAATTTGTCTCCTAGGCCATATAGTTGGCCATTTAATACATACAGCGATAGCGGCTTTCGCTAAAAGATTTGATTCTTTACACATTTCGCATAGCATAAAGGATACAGAAAACGATTATTCATATCGTTTCGTTCACGGCCTTCAAAATAGAGGGCGCCTTTATAAGCTAACTACACGGTAGTGAAGATTGGGAGACATTCGTTTTACTTTCCGAGTTTGAATTTGTATCAGCCCAAGTGTCTGACGATGGCTGGGATAGGCCGAAATGATCATAACACTTTAGTGATACCAATTCGAGCACGGGAAGTTTAACGAATTTGTCTCCTAGGCCATATAGTTGGCCATTTAATACATACAGCGATAGCGGCTTTCGCTAAAAGATTTGATTCTTTACACATTTCGCATAGCATAAAGGATACAGAAAACGATTATTCATATCGTTTCGTTCACGGCCTTCAAAATAGAGGGCGCCTTTATAAGCTAACTACACGGTAGTGAAGATTGGGAGACATTCGTTTTACTTTCCGAGTTTGAATTTGTATCAGCCCAAGTGTCTGACGATGGCTGGGATAGGCCGAAATGATCATAACACTTTAGTGATACCAATTCGAGCACGGGAAGTTTAACGAATTTGTCTCCTAGGCCATATAGTTGGCCATTTAATACATACAGCGATAGCGGCTTTCGCTAAAAGATTTGATTCTTTACACATTTCGCATAGCATAAAGGATACAGAAAACGATTATTCATATCGTTTCGTTCACAGCCTTCAAAATAGAGGGCGCCTTTATAAGCTAACTACACGGTAGTGAAGATTGGGAGACATTCGTTTTACTTTCCGAGTTTGAATTTGTATCAGCCCAAGTGTCTGACGATGGCTGGGATAGGCCGAAATGATCATAACACTTTAGTGATACCAATTCGAGCACGGGAAGTTTAACGAATTTGTCTCCTAGGCCATATAGTTGGCCATTTAATACATACAGCGATAGCGGCTTTCGCTAAAAGATTTGATTCTTTACACTGTGAAAGTGTTTTGTATTTTGGCTCTTGTTGTTTTTGAGCCAAAGCGTAAAATTTTCTTTTTCTACTCTCGTGGAATCGTCGTATATGTCTATATGCATTTTTTTTATTTAGAGAATAGCATACAACGGTACATCTTTCGAATAATATAAGTAAATAGAAAGACGTCAAAAAGCATCTTGAGTGAATATTTTAACTTCAGTTCAATTTGATGCGGAATTATTAAAGTTTGGGAACCTCTGATATAAATAAATCATTTCATTTACCGCTTTGCGTTAGCTGTTTGTTGTGTAACACATTAGTCCAAATGTGTTAACATTTTTTATACAAACGATGCAACACTAGACCCACGAAAACAATGGCCACTACAATTATTTTTACTATCCGCTTCAGTGATCGTAGCCTACAAAAAGCGTTTCTAAGTTCATGCACTGAACATATCTACGGAAAATAATAAATAAATATCCAATTAGTTGTAATCAGGGGAATCTAAGAATTAACGAACTTATGGTGGAGTTGTTCAGTGAAGGACGTAGAAATAAATTAAGGGGTAATTTAAAATTTCATACTTACTTATTACTATTATCACTAAATAAGAGATAGTGATATGAATATGTTTATTTGTTTTGTTGTAAAATTCTGAATTTTTAAACTACAATTACAATTTTTTGCAATTATATTTATACTCAGATGCAAAAAAAAACACAACGGAAAAAAAGTTGGTCAAATTATTTCAAAGTATTTAAATTTTTTATGTTTAGCCCTATTTTGATATTTTTTTTGCACACTGTGTATACATTTATAAATTTTATCAGTTTCTTGATAAAATTTTATATTTGACTTATTGTACGACGTCAATTAAAACGCGGTTTTACCCCCTCTGTGGCTCAGTGGTAAGAGCGCCTACCTTTAAAGTTCGAATCTCACCTGGGTGGAGAAATTTTCGTTTATAAAAATTAATGAATGAAAATAATTTCTATCCTTGTGCGGTCGGTACTCACCGGAGGGACCGCAGACGATCGGATATAATTAGCATCTCTTAGCAAAGACAAGGGTCGTCTAGGAGCCAAGATAGCCCTATTTTATTTAAATCACTGTTATTAAATTAACAGTATTAAATGCTGAAATTAACCAATTTTTTATAAGAAAAGTCTAAAAGTTTTTAACAAAATTTTTAGCAAACAAAATTATTGAAAATTGTTTAAGCACGAGTGTGAAAAAGTGTTCAAGTCGTACTTAAATATTTTATTTTTTATTATTCAGAATATGGCCTTATTTAGTTTGAAATCTTTTATTTAATTATAATATGGCTTTAGTTTCACATCTTTTAAATTCTCGAACTCAAATTGGCTGATTAATTATTGTCAAGTTCTGAGAATTCACTTGTTTGAAAAACATGTTTTTGGGAAACTATTTGTCAATTCAAAACACTTTAGAGTCCTTTTAAGTCATTTTAATCTTAATTAATTGCTATTCACGGAGGTCCTACAAACAAAAGAACCACCCTCGTTGACTTTCGGACCTACATTTTTTTTTTTTCGTAAATCAGTATCGAGTGTGCATCCCGTTTACCCTTAGATTCCGAGCGGGACCCAACTACAGACAAAAGGTAAGTGAATCTCATATATAATTGACAACAAGTTATTAAATCTGCCAATTGTTATTTGAATTACAACATTTTATGTTACATATCCATTTACAAATATTTGCTATTTTCGCTATTTTTTATTTAGTCAAAATATTGCATTATTTTTTACCATTATTATTCTAATATCATTTAACCAGCGACCTCTTAAGTTTTACACAACATGGAGTGTTATAAACAAAAGGTACTGTGCACCCGGCTAGAGTAAAATGAGTGAGGAGAAAGAACAGGAGTTATGGATGTAGTTGAAAGCATCATCCTTCTCCATGCTCACTCTAACTCTAATTGATTTTAAATCGTCCTCTAGTTGAAAGAATAGCTATGACCGAATAGAGTTGAGCCGGATATGTTGTCATACTGACGGATGATAGATAGACTAGAAAGATTCTGGAATAACGACCAAGACATATCGAAGCAGAGGACTAGTGCAGGCATTGAAGCGAAAAATACGTTCTTGCCTCCGAATTTTTTTACTGTGAACCGATTTGCATGAAATTTTGGAATAAGGCTCATCTTACTCTTAACTTCAAAAGTGAAAATTATCTGAACTCAGCCTATTATTTTTAACGGGTGTAAACAACCCCTTAATGGAAAAATTGACATTGAGCAATTTTATCGCTAGAAAACATGTCTAATAGTAAGTGCTGAAATTGTAAAATGTTTTCTAACACAATTACCTCATATTAAAATCATTTTTAACCCCTTGAAAATCTTACAACCCTTGCAAACAACCCCTAAATTGAAAAAATCCCAAAAAAATACTTTGGTATTTGGGTATGACATAAAAAGATTTAAGTATAGAGTAAGTAATATTTTATATTTTGTATAATAATTATCAAATTTTTAACCCCCTTTCAACCCTGGAAAACTACCCCTTGATAAAAAATTGTTAAATTTTTTTTTTTGATAAAATGAAAAAGATTTAAATATTATTTCACACTCTCGAAAATGTTTATCACATTCTTAAGCTTTTCTACCCTTAAAACTGACCCTAAATTAAAACAGTAAATATATTATATGATTACATATTTAAAAATAATTTAATTTAGAGTAAAAAATTGCCATTTATTGAATAAAATATTTACAAATTATATAAAATTGTACTATTATTATTAAAAATTCCAAAATATATGAGTCATAATATATATATATATATATATATATATATATATATATATATATATACACACGTTACAATAGTTTTGGGTCTCTATTATACTGCGTACTTTCACATTGCTCCAAATATTCACCCTCCGAAATTTTCAGGTACTAAGTGGAAAAAAATATGATAAGTTTTTGGACCACAACTCCTTCAATTTTCATGCTATCACAATTTATAAAAAACCATTGTAAAGGTAACTAAGAGAGCTACAACATCCCTTATTGCAATATACAGTAAAAAACCTTTTAAAAAAACGGTGAATGGTTAAAGGGCTTAAGAGAAGCTGTGATTGCACTGCCATGCGCTCTTAAACAATCATATCTCCGTCAATTTTTGTTTGACAGAAAAACAAAAAAAAACAAATTGTTTGTCAGAAAAATACCTAAATTTTTTATCCCTACACTCCTTATTTAAAAAAAAATTCACCCTTGAGAAGGGGTGGCAACCACCCCAGGGTGGTAGCGGAGTTCAAATCATTTTCACTTTTGAAGTTAAGGGGAAGATGAACCTAATTCCAAAATTGTATGCAATTTGGTTCACAGTAAAAAAATTCGGAGCAATAATGCTTCAATGACTGCACTAGACGTCCACCGACTAAATAGACGGATGACATAAAAGTCATTACCACGAATTGGATGCAAGAAGCTTAAGACAGAAATAAGTGAAAAAGTTTACGGGAGGCCTATGTTCAGCAGTGGACAAATAAAGTGCAAAATTCATATAGATTTATATAAAATTTACTATAAAATATGCAGATTTTAAAAAACTTGCAACCATAAAATGAAATTTTATTTCATTTCATTTTATTTCATTTCATGGAGTTTTAGAATAAGCATAATTTTTTTATCAAGAATGAAAGAATATCAATATTTATGCGTCATTTCAAGGTTTATAACGATTATATAAAGGCTCTTCGAGAAAATCAGTGCATTGTCAAAAATTTGTACTATTCTTGAATAAATAATGCGGGTTTTCATTTTAAAAACATGGCTTCGAACATCCTTCAATAAATATTATTACTTTTGTACTTTACCCCCCCTAAAAAATAACAAAAACACTTTATTTTAGACTTTCTATTGTGGCCGTATTTCTTAAAGACGAAAAATGTTTTCGAATCGTCCAATTTTTCTAGTACTCCCCGTATAATAACTAAGACACAAGTTTTAAAATACTCCCTTGACAATTTGCCCCGAACCGCCTATGGTAGGCGGTGTACTAACAAACCTATAAGACCGAATCGACAAAAAGTAAAGTTTTACGTTATTGGAAAGTAAAAAACGAATTGGATAGAAAGCTAAACGAACTTGAACACTAAATATATTACTATAACTAGTATTACATGCGTTTTTATGGAATGTGTTCAAGTTCGATAGAAAGCAAGTTCATAAAAATTGATTATCGATCCGATACATATATAGAATATTGATATTTCATTAAAAAACGCATCGATTTCCACAAGCCAATATTTATTGTGGTTTAAATTGAATCTAACATGATTAGTCTAAAATGCAACTGAATCGGTAATTGTAAAAACGTGTTACCATAATTTTAGCCCAGGGAAATGAGCAAAAATACACTGTTTTTTCTGTACTACCAACAGGTCCTCGTAGACACTTTGTCTCAGGACCAAGTAACTTTATGTAGAGTCATACATCGCCATGTTACCAATTCCACTGGTAACTTAAACATCTTAACTTTTAATAATATATAATTAACATAACATTTAACGGGTTTTTACCCATATATTTTAGTGACTCAAAACATGTATACTTCGTTACACTGATGATGGAATTTACATACCGAAAACGTTCTGTAATTGTGATATAGTCCGTTTGGGTATTTTATTATATACCTTTTATAAAGGATTTTAAATAAAAACATTTTGTGATACATGGTATACAGCCAGCTAAAGGAATTTAGTTTCCTACTGAATTTCCAGAGACTCTATTACCTTATAATTTTTGATATTGATTTCGTTAAACATATACCTTTTATAAAGGATTTTAAATAAAAACATTTTGTGATACATGGTATACAGCCAGCTAAAGGAATTTAGTTTCCTACTGAATTTCCAGAGACTCTATTACCTTATAATTTTTGATATTGATTTCGTTAAACGAATGCTTGATTTCAGAATCAGAAGTGTCCATTTCTGTGTGTTGAATGAATGATTCCTTACGCTTAAGCATACGTTTTTTCAATATTCTCTCCGTTTGATAAATGTAAATTGTTAAGCTGAGTTAACTATACCGTTGAATAATCAGTCTCACTTGACTTTTTATATTTACATTATCCTAAATTAACATAAAAATTTAAACATTATATACGAGATGGAAAAAGTTTGCGTTTTAGCTTTTAAACACTAAAATAAATTAACTCTATACTCACCAGATAGTCGAAACCTGCACTGAAGAGGATGTTTTCGGCTGTCGGATGCCACTCTATGTAGCCAACTCGCCGTTTATGGCCCTGTAGTTCTACCAGCCAATCTGTTAGGTGTACCGAAAGACCTTCGTCAGGAATGTGCCACAATTTTATCTAAAAATGATATAAAACATATACATTGATTTCAATTTTAATGAGTAGATGGATGTCTTCTGGATATTGGGTTGATTGGATCTTAAAAATATTCGAACATAACAATATTTCAGAAATAATAACCAAATTAGCAACATTGCCTAAATTACGACTGGACACTTGAAGACACTCAGCACGTGGTTGTTTGGTATAGTCCTAGCTACATCTAGTTATTACACGATCGATTGAAACTGAGGTTGCAAGAAGTCGGGTATTGTAACAGTTGAAAATCAAATATCCTTTCTTAAAATTGAAATTTTATGCGGCCAAAATCCTACAATAATTCATCGGGCTTCAAGTGAGGTTTGTGGTGAACAACTGTAGTTCAGTGTCCCGTTGAACTAGTGAACGCCCCAAGGCCTAGCAGGCCGTTAAATTCAACTGATGAGCGAAGTAACAAACTGGGGTCCTAACGAATTTCAACGTGTAACAAAATATCCAGTGCTACCGGAGTGTCAACTTTATCTGTTTTCTGAATTTTGAAAAGCAAAATTATAATTTCTGCTTGTTGGCTTCCTTACTGTGTGACTAGTGAACAGAAGAACAAATATCTGAAAATACCGTAACACTATTGTAACAAAGATTCGCTATTCAAAGTTATTCATTGATATTTCTAATTGTCGCAATTGATGCGACAAGTTTCTAGATTTTGAAGTCAGGAAATTGTTTACAGCTTGAGAATCTTCTAAGCGGCTATGAACTTGAAAATATCTGCGTCGATTTTGCGCCTGTCCACTTAAACTACAACTACACCATTCAGGCAAGTTTTTCAGTCAGGATATTTTTCTTCAATCCCATTAGGTACCCTTTATTTTGCCTTGCGTGGTATTTTTCAGCATTGATTCTTTTTTCCTTATGATACGTACCAAAGAATTTCTTCTCTTTCCTTTATTGTTGCCAATGCCTCACACTATTTGTTTAATCTCTGAGGTACCTCTTCATTTCTTATCTATCCGTCCACGATTTTTTTTTAAATTCGACGATAGTAGCACACCTCAAAGGCTCAATTTTCCTTATGTTCTTCTGTTTTAAACGGCAATTAAATCGCCAAAATTTGTGGACAGATCATAAAAAGAAGACTTGTGGCAAAATAACAAATGCTTACATCTTGGCAAAATAAGCGATACTAATAGAGTTAAAGTTTCCTTATATGCTTATAATTCGAAGAAAAGAAGTTTACAATTCACTGCTACATTCACCAATTATCGATATTCAAGCAATACTACTCCGCTTATGTACATTTAACTGTTTGTAAGAACTACAATATTTATTTTATATATTATACTTAAAAAACTTACCGTACAATCATCTGAACAGGATGCGATAACATTGTCATTAAAAGGATTCCATTTTATATCTAAAATTGGACCCGAGTGGCCAGTGACTTTGCTAGCATTAAAATCCAATCTGCCAGTCTGGAAACAAAGAAAAAATAAATAAAATACTATACACACATGACTAAGAACAGAATGTGTTCGGTATATTTTTGTATTTACGCTCATATTACTAGCTGTCAAACAGTTGACAAAAAACAATCATTTTTGAAATAAAGTTTTTTTATTAATATTAATTAAAAACTTACGCAGTTGATTGGGATAACGATGAAAGCTCCTCCACCGGCCACTTCCGTAACGACAGCTACGAATTTTGGATTGACTGCACAGAATTGGGAATCGTGTGCGTTTTTCGTGATAGGAATGTTGTCGTAGCATTTTTCTCTTTTCGCCGGTTCACCATATACGTGCCGAAATTTCGAACTTCTCACTCCCTTAAACCAGAGCTGAAACAAGCAATAAAATTCTTAGTACCGTTAGCGGCAATTCGTCAATTCGTGTTCATTCAAAATAAAAATCATCCGGAACTGAATAGATCATTGATGTAAGGTTGAATGCTCGAATAAATGAACTTTGATAAATTGAAAGGCAGATATCGAGCACTGTTTTATTAATTAAATCTTGCCCAATGTAACTTTCGCTTCCTTGGCCATCTTCAGGGGCATTTCCTCAAATTTTGAGCTATCCAACAATTGTAGAATGTCGTAAAATTGAAATTAAACATACGATTCAACATAACACTACATTACACAAGGACAAACGGTTTAAAATTATTTAAAAAATTGTCGAAGCTACATTCTGGTCGGCAACATTCTCTCTCATGTCGCCTGAAGAATTGGATGTCGCATTCTTCAGGCCCTTAAAAGAAAGCTGGAGGAAAACTTTAACATCATGGAAAATGCAAAATTCTAAAACCTCTAGCATTCCGAAAAATGAATTATCTAAGTTGTTAAAGCAAACACTTGAAATTATGAATAAAGTACCACCTAAAAATCCAGACGGAGAGAAGAGTGCTGTAAAAAGATATTTACTTTCTGGTTTTGATGCATGTGGCATTACACCATTCGACCCCAATCTAGTTTTGGAAAAGCTACCACAAGACGCTATTGATCAAGCCGAGCTTAGATGCTCTCTTATTAACTTGTTGAAAGACTTGAGGTACAATTCCAGCTCTGAAAAATCTAGAAGTAAAAGAAAACTGTTAGCAGCTGAACCTGGTCAACGTGTTACAGCACCTAAGCTATTCGAGGAGTCCAGTGACATTGATTCAAATGAAAACCTCTAATTAGATGACAGCAACAGTGATGTTGATATTAACAAAGATGAAGAGGAGGTTGAATACTTCTGTCCTTCATTAGAAAACATTACAAAGGGAAAATTCCTGTTAGTAAGATTTTTGTCTGGTTCTCGGAAAAAGACGGAATTTCGCTATGTCTGTCAGGTAAAAGAAGTTTTAGAAGGAGAAGAAACCGAAGTTCAAGGCCTTAAACCAGCAAGATCGAGGAAGATTTTCAAAATAATTGAAAATGACATATCCACTGTTCCCTTCAAGGAACTAGTTGCCTTACTAGCAGATCCGACACTTGTGACGATTTCTAATAGGATACAAAAATATCATTTTTGGCGGAGAAATTAATATAAAAGAATGTTAAATCAAAATTTCTTTTTTTATAAATGGTTCTAAATTACATTTTTAATTGTGAAAATATGTTTTTTTTTTGTATAAATAAAGAAGAGTACAATAAAAATAGTGTGATCATTCTGACCCCGCATGATCAATCTTACCCCTTTGTAACAATTCGAAAAACTGTCTGACCGAATTAGTCAGGGTTAAGATTGATCATATTCTATTCAAAAGCACTACTGTTTCATGCTATAAACTCATCATCATCAATCTCACCCCAGTACGGGTCTAAGATTGATCACCCTTTTTTTGTGAGATAAGTGGATTTTCTTAATAATTAAAACAAAAAAAAACTAGCACTAGAACTGCACTGTTGGGTCTCAGAAACCCAGAGAGTCATTCATTGCAGACCCAAGGGTGATGTTTACGGTAATAATTTTGTTTCAACTTATTTTTATTTATTTTAGTATAATGGCGTCAACTAGTAGAGAAAACAGTCGAGTAAAGGCATCAAGTCTTCTTCTTCTTCATGTACCATGTCCTTTCAGAACGTTGGTTACCATCATAGCTATTTTAATTTTATTCACTGCCACCCTAAATAGCATGCTTGTATCTACACCATACCAATCTCGCAAGTTCTTCAACCATGAGGTTCTTCTTCGTCCTGGACTGCGTTTGCCTGCTATTTTTCCTTGCATGATATTTTGTAGCAATCTATATTTGGGACCTCTCATTACATGTCCGAAATATTCCAGCTTTCTCTGCTTGATGCTTTTTATGATCTCAGTAGTCTTGCTGAGACGTTCAAGTATTGTGGAGTTACGAATTTTCTCCACCCAGGAAACTTTTAAAATTCTTCTATAGCACCACATTTCGAAAGCCTCGAGGCGATTTAGATCGATTTTATTCACAGTCCAGGACTCGACAGCATAAAGTAAGACCGAGAACACGTAGCAGCGAAGTAGGCGGATCCTTAATGCCAATTTTAGGTCTCTGTTACATAACACCTTGAACATCCTTCTAAAAGCAGCTCTAGCCTGCTCTATTCTGGATCTAATTTCGCCGTGATTTTCTGCATTACAATTTAATTCCTGTCCAAGGTAGACTATTTTATCAACTTGCTCAAGTTTGGTATTATTTACATATCAGGTAGGCATCAAGTAGCAGAGAAAATCGTCGTCCTTTAACTGAGGTAGAATTACAGAGAGAGGCAGACAATTTATGAGAGAATGAGAGTGAAAACGACATCGTAGACGATATGTTTGGAGGGGACGAGTCCGATGAAGATTACGTTGAAGAGCAACTGTCAGACAGCAACAGTGAACAAAGCGACAATGAAGACGAAATAGTGGATGAACCAGTTAGAAATATTCCTAGTTTACTGGGGAATATTGCATGGAACATAGAGCTCAGCTATGCTGTGTATGCTAACATCAAGATCCAAGAAACTGAAGACCTGACTAAGAATAACTAAGACTTATATTACCAAAAAGTTTATTTTTTTGTTACAAGGATAGTTATACAGGTGTATTTTGTAGATGATAATTTAAATTTAATGTTTATTTGTTTTAACAACAATGTTTTATGTTTGAATATTATTTTATGTTATTTTTGAATTTCAACAAATATTATCTCTTTGTGAAATACCATACCATGGTTAAATTTTTTTCTACACATTCTACTAAGATTAGATATTCTCCCAAATCCATCAAATATTCACATTTTCTGTTTTTTTGCTAAAAAACAGCTTTGGGTTTTTGAGACCCGAGTGTGAAGTTCATGCCTTAAAAAATAAGTGTGATGTACCAGGGTTAATATAACACGTTAAGTGTTTAAATATAGAACAGTCACAAAAACTTTTAAAATATAAATCAAATAAAGTTAAAATTGATCAATCTCACCCCATTTCACGGTAATATACTTTACACGAGCCTCACAAAAACGCATTTAATGGGTACGTTGAAAAGAGATGACATTACGTTAATAGTATAAATAGTATAATATATTTATCGCCCACTAAACCTAAAAAATAAACACTGTCTACAATAAATTACCGAGTTTAGTTTCCATAAAAGTACAGAATCAATAATACGTCCATAAACAAAACTGACATCATCATATTTAACAAGGTTATATATATACAAATCGCCACAAACAACGACAATGTATTTAACAATTTTTGTATCAAATTTACTTATTGAGTGGGCTGAAAATCGAAAGTTTGCACAAAAATTTGCTAATAAATTAAACATAGAACATTACTGTTAAAAGTTCTCTCATTATCAGCAAATACAAGACGATATCATTATATTCATATTCAAGGTTCATGTACATATATAATAATATGTAACTGCCGAAAAATCTACATAAAAAAATTCGGAAATTTATTGATAAAGGCATCTTGTTTGACAATTCTTTCTTTCAGTTTGCCGCTTCGGATTGATTAGGGGATTCAATAAGAAACTCCATCTTTTGCATATCGTACACGTTTGAGCCTTAAGGTTTGCCAGTTGCCGCTTAATTATTTTATGTAAATATACATGGTGTTTCAAAAAGGTATGTCATAAATTAAATCACGCATTCCGGGGACAAAAATAAATTGATTGAATACAACTTACCTTAGTACAAAAGTGTACACAAAAAACGTTACAGCCCTTTGAAGTTACAAAATAAAAATTGTTTTTTTTGCATTATTTCCTAAACTACTTATCATGTTGTAATAAAAATGGACAAGTTACTTTCTTGTTCTGAAAGCATTTTTCAACATTTTCAGTATTTTTCTAAAAAAGAAACAACAAAATCTAAGCGCACAGAAAAATTTTAATAGGGGTGTGCAGCCCTAAATCCCCCAAACTTTTTAGTACGTTCAAATCAAATGAATTTTCTGGCATCATTAGTTTAACAGATTATTTTCTTTTTAACTTTTTTGCCTCATCAATTTTTTCAAAAAACAGTTTTTATTGAGTTGCGGCCCTTTTCATTAACCTTTAAAAAATTACGTGCAACTAAATAAATGGCTTAAACGAATTAACAAGTACAAAAAGTGTCTATAATGTCTATAAATATAATATTACAATAAATGTTCAAAATGACCCCCATTTTTTTCAATACACATTCGGCATGGTTTTAATAAGGAAAACCGAATGCGCTGAGACATAATATTTTTCTGACGAAATTGATTTGCGGCTTCAATTATTCTAACCCTCAATTGTTGATCGTCCTCTATTATTACAGAATACACTTTCTCTTTCATAAACCCCCAAAAGCAAAAGCCCATGGGGTTAAGACCTGGATTTCTGGGTGGCCAAGAAATAGGTGCGTCACGACCCCTTCCAATCCACCGACCAGGATACTGTCTGCAAAGGTATTCCCGGATTTCATTACTGTAATGCGGTGGAGCGCCATCTTGTAGAAACCACATATTTTGCCTTATTGCAATATTCACTTCTTTCAAATACTCTTGTAAATCGTTTACCAAGAACTGCAAATAATTATCGTTTTTTCGGCGTGAGGATTTTCGTCGGCACAAATTTGCTCATTATGATGGTTTGTCATTCCATTTCTACTGAAGGCAGCCCAGTCAGTAAACACGATATTTCTAATAAAATTAACATTTCGAGTGTTTTCCATTAACAACCAATAGCAAAATCCAATCCTTTTAGGATAATCTTCAACAAATAACTCTTGAACCGTTGTTAGGTGATAGGTTTTAAGCAACATTTAGTTGAGCAGCTATTACCCTTGTATTGATCTAGGGACTTCTTCAATGATTTCTAAAATGTCTTCATCAGTTGCATCCATTATTGGACGACCACTATTGCC